TATTGCTAGGCTGTGATTACTTGTTCGGAATCTAGAGACAGAAATTCTATGTTTTAGATTCAGTATAATTAAGTAACTTTCAAAGTTGTAGTTTGTTTTGAATTGAGTATATGTTCTCAACTTAGGTTTATCCATAATTGTCTCCTTCCAGAATTCAATATATTTTTGTTTAATATTGTTTCCTATTCTCTTTATATTTTGTTTTGTTGCATTCAATTTGTCATTGATATTCTTTATATCTAATGTGTTATCTTCCTTATTTAACTCTTTGTAAATTGACATAATCCATGGGAGTTTGCAGTTTATCTGTTCATGGTATGCCTGTTTTGTTAAATTACATTCTGGAAGTTCTTTGATCCGTGCCAAATACTTTATAAGATTTATTTTGATGTCTACTAGTAATGGTAGTTCACCTATTTCTGCTCTACAAGCTAGATTTGATGAAAATTTATTCAATCCAAGCATTCTTTTACTAAATTTCAGATGGGTTTTCTCGATTGGTGTAATGTCCCATTTATTATTTTCTTGAATTTCGAAGCCCCATACATCTGATCCATATAATAGTATTGGTCTTATACATGTTTTGAATAGGTGTAACATTGTTTTGCAGTCAGTTTCTTTTGGCACATATGTTGATATGTTTATGAAAAGCATTAAAGTAGCAGGTCAACAAGTCGTTGAAAATCACACAGTCCCCGTAAAATTTTTGAAAGTTCTCTTTGTGCTCGTCATATTAAAGCAGAGGGGTTGTTGCGAGCGTGTCCTTGAAAACTTGAGGTTCAAGTGGCATATACAACAGATTGTTTATTTACATCAAAACACGTGTTTCGTGTAGTAGTACCGTACTCGACCGCGTTAGCGCCCAGGGTCCTCAACTCAGAAAATCATGATTTTGTAGGGGTGGGCGCTTACCCGAGCACCCCCCTCGAAAAAGAGTGGAAACAAAAATTTTGATTCATCAAGTGACAGATTACGTTATTGAGGGAAAATCAAATTATTAAATTAGTTGCGTCGTCATTGATTTTCACAATGAAGAAACAGAAATGATCACAAAAAGTACGCACATTTTATTACAATATTAAGTACGTACCACCATAATTTAGTTAGTAATAAATTAGTTGCATTTTGAAGGGGTGGGCGCTTTGCCGAATGTGACCCCAAATATAATCAAAGAAAGCTTAGAAAGAACTCCCATGTGCTGAGAGTATTGGAGACACATTAAATATAATTCGAAATTACTTAGCTGAAAACTAATTATGCAAATCAGAAAATTAATATGACCAGATTTGAGTGTAAAACTAATGAGGTCTGCGCAATGTAACAGAAAATCTATGTCTCCAAGTTTAATTGAAATGTGATTAGA